ATTGAGGACTATTAACTTTAGTAGAGTTTAAGATGTCTTCTTAATTTACTTATTTTAGTTTATCATAGACCACCTTGACTTAGTCTAGTTAGATTTTCGTTTGCTTTTTTGTTAAGTTTTAGATTTATTGCCTACATGCGGTTGCTTTTCGAGTTGAAATTTTTATTATTTTACGATAGGTTAATTTAATCAATTGAAATGATTTATATTTTAGTTTTTGATTTCTTTCAGGGAAAGGCGTCCTTTGGGAAAATGAGTAAATGTACTCATTTTCCCAAAAGACGCCTTTCCTTGAAATTACATTTTTTGGGATGCCTGCCTTCCAGTTTTAGATTACTTTTTAATAAAATCAGTTTACTTTTCCTTTAGTCCACCTTTTGGGCTGTCTATAAGAGTCGCATTTGTTTTTGATAAAAAGTGCTTTCGCATTTTAGCAACCCGCCGCCGCCGGCGACAAAAAAGTGAAAACCATTGGAAAGTCGGGCTCTGAAAATCTGAAAGCTTTTTTAACATTTTTTTCTAGTTTAGCTTTTAGGATAGTTTATTTATTTCCCAATATTTGCGCAGTAGAACATTTTAATTATGACGCTCTTTTCTGTTGACAATAGTTACCTTATTAAAATTATCATTCCTGCTTTTCCTACGTTTATAAACTTTACTTGTATTTACATTTCCTTTCCCTCTATTGCCCACATTGAAAAGTAGACATCTACCAATAAATCATGTAACATGTTCAGTGAAAATTCTCATTTTAAGATTCAAAAGTCCTATTGGCAAACAATTGTTTTCGATCATTCATAATCAGGACGGTACATAACATGGGGAATAAATTGCAGCGTTTATATGATCGTCAGGCTGGGGGTTGAGGAATAGGGTTAGTGGGTGGGTGAGTGTGTGAGTATAATTCAGCATCTGGGTTTTCCCTCGTCTCCTGAATGCGGGCGCCTGTGCGGGTAGTACGTCGGTTGCGAAGCGCAGAGAAGACAGGGCGGATGTTCTCACGATCAGCGGCTTGTGGTCTGTATGTCAACCGCGCTGCTTGCGCTTGACTATTTTCTGTGGCTTCAGGAGGCATTTCATATAAACGCTGCAATTAACTGACCATTTTTATTCTCCATGTCACTGAACCGGCCTGATGATGAATGATTGAAAACAAACTGTTTGCCAATACGACTTTTCAATCATGTGTAAAGTTTGTGGATGCATGTTCTGCTCCCCAAACGGGTCGCTGGGT